CGCTCACTAGATAAGCCTCACACAGATGAAGATCTCCTCCAGTATTCAGCTTTGTGTAAATTAATTCTAAAAGCGACTGAAGAGAACTCGTTTATATTGTCACGTATCATTGCTGCATGCAGTGTCACTTGCTTTCACTCAGTGCCATGCTTTGAGAAAAACAAGGTGTCATCTAGACCTGAGCCAAAGTTGTTCAATGCTTTACAATTCTACTTTCAGGGAATTCTGCAATACTTCTCTAGTTTTGAAACCACTGTAAGGCTGTGCTTGAGCTCCTCTTTAGAAAACCTGAAAACAAGGCTCGCCGTTGTTCTCGATCTAGTCGAATATTGCTCCAGACTCGCAATGGCTTGGATCTTGGGAGATGTAAATTGTCTCTTTCGAATGGTGCAGCCATTGACGATATCATATTTTCATGGACATATGCCTTATGAGGTGGACCTGGAAAGCCTGAAGAGAGTGTACCACCAAGAATTTTCTGTTAGTGTTCCAGATGCATCAGATGTAGGACATAATTCTATTGTTGAGAACAACGATGTTGGATACCCAGTGAAATCAATTCCAGAAGATGAAAGGCGTCTTGTAATACAAGCATGTTTCTGGAAGCATGTTTTAGACTTTGTGAAACATAAGATGGCATCGACTTCGATTGATCTAGATGATGGTATCTCGAATAGTAGTCCTTCAGAGAAATCTGATGCTCAGACATCGTTGGATGCTAGTGGTGACATTGTATGTGTAACTGAGAAGATCATGTCCGCTCTGGGAAAATCACTGATTAGCACCATATCTCAACTGTCTTCCTACCATGTAAAACAACTTGTATTGTTCTTGAAACAGAAATTAGAGAAGAGAATTCAGGTTCCTACCTTGTTATGGTTGCACGGATGTCGTGAATCTAAGGCAAATTTTACTAATCGAGCTATCCCAGATGCAAGTATAGAGAATGAAGAATGCAGCGACCTTGCAGTTTCTATGAGACTTTGGAAGCTTTGCGTTGATCCTCATTTAGTACTCGAAGCTTTCTTGCTAGAAAATTTTGACATATCTGAATGGTCAAAACTTAAACCATTGGAAGATTGGAGCGATATGTACAGAGAACTAACGGGGAAGAATGAGCTCAATGTTCCGTGCAAGCAAGATGGTCTGAGTAATAATGAGGTGGCTTCAGTTGCAAGCCACGTGTCTAATTCTTCGCAGAAAGCTGCAACTGCCAGTGAAAATTCTGCTTTCCAGGATCCCAAAGAAATCCATAAGAAGACCGGGGAGCTTATACAGGTGATTATTTTTCGTACATTAACGAACTATTTACTGATTCTCTGTTGAAACATTGTTATCTTGTGTGATCGAGTATTCTTATCTTTCTAACAGGCCGTGTGTACCAATGCCATCAACCATCGGCAAGCTGCACTAGCTAGCAACCGCAAGGTCAGTTATTGTTGCAGTCTGACTTAGCACTTGTTCTGTCTTTACTTTCTTGTGAATTTTATAAGTTGTGGTAACTTTCTATAGACTATGCGTAAAAACTTTAATTGAGTCTGAATCTGGAAAACCTCCAATCATCTTAATCCTGCGCTGTATGTGGAGATAAAAGTTTCTGATATTGCATGTTGCCGTAGCAACACCAGAGTTTATATTTTCTGTTGCAGTGACACATCACTAACTGTGGATTCTGTTACATGCAGGGTATAATTTTCTTTAACCTAGAAGATGGTTATCCCTGCTATGATCAGTCAAACTACATATGGTCAGATGCTGATTGGCCACATAAGGGTTGGGCTAACTCTGAGTCAACTCCTGTTCCAACATGTGTCTCACTCGGTGTTGGTCTTGGGGACAAGAAAGGAGCACACCTTGGGTTAGGTGGGGCCACTGTCGGTGATTATTCACTTTCCAAGCCGGGGAAATCTCACAGGGTTCCGGCTTACGCTGGGTTAGGAGTCTCTGGTCTAGGTTGGCAAACTCAACAAGATTTTGAGCAATTAATTGATCCTCCCCCAACAGTTGAAACTGTTATAGCAAGCGCATTCTCCAGTCATCCAACAATGCCTCTTTTCTTGGTTGGCTCAAGCAACACCCACATTTACTTGTGGGAGGTATGAACCCAAACATTTGCATCATCTGTTTAACTAAGTTTTTTTAATCATTTCACTATAACTAGTGTTACTGAATGTTAACGATGATAAATTGAAGCATTTTGACAGAGGATGACATCTCTAATATCTTTGTGTTCCTATAATGCAAACATTACATCTTGCAGTTTGGGAAAGACAGAGCTACTGCAACTTACGGTGTTCTCCCTGCTGCAAATGTTCCACCTCCATATGCTTTGGCGTCAATATCAGCAGTGGAATTCGGTCCATGCGGGCACAGATTTGCTAGCGCTGCTCTGGATGGAACGGTATGCACTTGGCAATCAGAAGTTGGTGGAAGGAGCAATGTCTATCCTGTTGAGTCATCTATTTGCTTCAATGGCTTTGCATCGTATGTTTCATGATCCTTGAATCTTTTGAGTTCTCGTTCCCTAGTATGCCAAAAACACATCGATTTAGAATTATTGCACATGATCATGAAAGTCACCATTTTTCTATTGTTATGATTGCAGAGATGTAAAATATATTAGTTCGAGTGGATCTATAGTTGCAGCTTCAGGATGTAGCTCAAGTGGTGCCAACGTAGTTGTATGGGATACGCTAGCTCCCCCTTCAACCTCCCAGGCATCTATCAGTTGTCATGAAGGTCTCTTCCATTTCAAAAACTGCAGACTGATCACCACTACTGTCTTTTTCACTTAACATCTAACTCTTAACATCGTAGGTGGTTCACGCTCTATCTCGGTATTTGATAATGACATTGGTAGTGGCTCGATTTCTCCAATGATTGTAACTGGTGGCAAAAACGGTGATGTTGGATTGCACGATTTCCGGTATATCGCAACTGGTAAGATGAAGAAGCAGAAGAACGCTGACGGAAGATCTTCGACTGATGGAGATCATAACAAGAATGGGATGCTTTGGTATATACCAAAGGCTCACTTAGGTGGAAAATTCTATACTCTTCCTTTAATTAGCCCGGAAAGTATGTTTCGAATAAATTGGACTGACATTGATGCATGCAAATTCCAGGGAGTGTGACCAAGATATCGACAATACCACGCACAAGTCTGTTCTTGACGGGAAGCAAAGACGGAGATGTTAAACTTTGGGATGCAAAAGCAGCAAAGTTGATTCATCATTGGCCTAAACTACACGAGAGACACACTTTTCTGCAACCAAACTCCAGAGGCTACGGTGGTATCATCCGAGTAAGTAAAACTGAAACCTTTTTGTTTTGGTTTTCGATTATTTTTCCGGTTTAGTTCAGAGCAGTTCTTGTAGTCCCGATTGAATTAAATATTTGGAACACATGGTTCAAGTTTGTGTTTCTTGTGTTGAATTGTGGTGCAGGCTGGGGTGACAGACATACAAGTTTGTCCGAATGGTTTCATAACTTGTGGTGGTGATGGCACTGTGAAGTTCGTCAGCCTCAGAGATTCCTAACTACGTCTGCCGAGAAAACGAGCGTAGCCTTGGAATGTTTCTATTGAATACGTGATTTCTTCTCAAAAGGTATATTTCAGATTCGTTAATTTTTTTATGTAATGTATTCTTTTCCCCATCTATGGTATATTTTGTGTGTACACATTACACGCACATATAAGCTTATTACGAAGCAGCAAGGGCCAAGGAATGTTGACTTGACCATAAATCCAGTTTTTTATATTTATATTTGACTTGACTTCAATTCATATCATCATCATCTATTTATCTTTGACCTGGTTTTGCATTGACTTGGTTGCATCGGATATCTGACCGGATTAATCGGACTGGCTCCAATCAGATTGGAGATTTTAACTTTGAATAAAAGATATAAGCTTGTCAATTACTAGGATTCATTCAACTGTTATTTTACAACTGAATATTCTTTTCGTGGTTAATGTGGCAAAGGATATATTGAGGTACACAAATCGGGTTTTAAGCTTTGTTTTTTTGTTATTTCTTTCTCAGCAAACAAAAGTCCAAGTTCAACCAAAATAGTGCAGTTTGATTGATGTTGAGTGCAGATTCAATATAGTAGAAATGATACAATAGAACAAAACCAAATAAGCCTGAATAATCATACTTTGTAAATAAGTATTTGGCCAACAGAGTTTAATATGATATATGTAATCCCTGACGGCCATGTATTACGTAGTGGATTATGCTATCTTGTGGTTTTATATTAAGCAAATAAAATGATAGAATCATCAAATGTTTGATTATGTTAGCACGTATTATTTCCTAATAACACAAGGGTCCATTTCACTAAATAAATATTCAAAAGAAGTTAGTTGTATTTCTTATATTGTGCTAATTATGAGGAGTATATTAGTGCTGACATGAAGCATCTTATTAGAAAATCTTAATTGTTTAACTTCTTATGGATCACTTAATAAACTAAAAAATGTCTAATGTAGCTATCAATTGGAGAATAGTGGACATAGACAATTAACTATAATGACTGGAAGAAACTTTGCTTCACCTAACATTCAATTTACTAGACGACGCCCACAATATTTACGTTCTCTGTACCTAATTTCCAAATATATGTTTAAACCAAATGATCATGTAAAAGAAATATACTTTTAAATGTGAATCAAATTAGCTTATATCATTTGAGCAACATTACAGGTTTTTTTTGTTTTTGACTATTAGGACAAAATAAATTTATTAGGCGTGGCGCGTACAGTGAAGAGCCAGAGTTCCCTCCAAATAATGATGTAAGATAAAAAAAAGGTCTTATCCGTAAAAAGAAAATTTAGCGAAAACGAAACCCCACTCTATCTTACTGTTTTACGCCACGTGTAATAAATATCTAATCGAACGGCTGTTGTATGAAATCTATGGGGGCAAATCTGTGGTTCCGACACAGAAACATAACAATGGGTTCTTAAATAAAAAACGGTGTCGTTCAGCGGAAGTTTGCGTGCTGAATGACAGAGGAAGAAAACGATAACTGCAAGATTCAAAAGCTTAATCAGAAGCAAACAAAAAAATATCTGACAATTCTATCTTCGTTTTCTTTCCTTTGCTCTCTTTCACGAGAGTGACTTCTCAGTTTCGCTAAATCTGATTGTTTCTTTTCCTTTTTCTGCTGTGTGGTTTTTGGTCCCCGATTGATTACGGTATTAACTCTTTCCTTCTGTTTATTTGTTTCTGTGTGTGTGTGTGTGTGAAAATCTGCAAATTATTGTTGTTTCTTTGAGATATCTATCCGTTGATTATGATGCCGACAATATAGGTAATGATCCGCTGATTCTGTGTCTTGTGTCTCATCGGGCTTTGATGTTTTGCTTGAATCTGCCGCTGATTTCGTGTCTTAGTTTAATAATTAGTTTGCTTCTTATTTGGTTTGCTTCAGATAAAATTAGGAACTTAGTCTTTAATCTCCCTTAAAGCAAAACATCAGATTCTCTGTAATTGGGTGATGAGATCTGTCTTTATTTGGCCATTTCAGACAAAAAGATTCTAACTTTATTAAGATTCATTTCTTCTATAAGTAGAATCAAGATTTGATCGTCAATTGATTGGTTCTTTTTGTATCTTTTCTTAGAGTTATGGTGAAATGATGGCAGCAGGAGAAGCAAGAGCTGTGTGGCAGAGAACAGTGAACCGTTACTTTGTCCAAGAAGACGCTAAAAGAGCCCCCAAGTTAACAACCTCTTGCCAAACTTCCTCTTCATCAACTGTTTCCTCTAAACAGGTTGAAGAGTCCGGATCTTCTCGTCCTGTTGTTGATCCACAGAACCAATCATCACCTTGTGCAGGTTTCATGCCTCTTCATCCAAACCCTCATCTCTTACCACACAACACCAGATTGTGGGGTCATCATCATCTTCATCACATTCAGCAAAACCAAAACGAACCAGTGAAGACTTCACTGGAAACTGAGGTTGAGGGAGGCAAGTCTGAAAGCTTTCAAGAATTTGTAGAGTTGATGGAGACTAGGGAGAGTTATGGTTCGGTTGGGAATGATGAGTCCTCTGAGAAAAAGTTAACAAGTGAGCTAGCTTTTGATCCCAGCTCTCCATGGAATCCTCTCTCTAGCGAGAAAGCTGCACCGTGGTGGAGAACTACAGATAAAGATGAACTAGCTTCCTTGGTTGCTCAGAGGTCTCTTGACTTTGTTGAGAATTGCGACTTACCAACACCGCAGAAGATGAACCGCTCTTACTATGGTAGTCCACGTTCTTTTGACTCTGATGTATTACGGGATCGCTTTGCCTCTAACCACGAGCGCGTGACAAGCAGAGGAAACAGCTTCAAGAACAGAACAGAGGAGGCTTCCTCTGAGTCTGACTTGAGCAAATCCGAGCTGCTAGAAGCGCTGAGGCGTTCTCAGACAAGAGCTAGGGAAGCTGAAAACATGGCTAAAGAAGCGTGTGCAGAGAAAGAGCATTTGGTGAAGCTCTTGTTGAAGCAAGCCTCGGAGCTTTTCGGGTATAAGCAGTTGCTGCAACTGCTTCAGCTTGAATCATTATACCTCCAAATCAAGAGCAAGAAGATTGAGGACAACAAGGAGACACCACCGGTTTCCATCCCTTGGAGCAATACCAAAGCAAGAAAACCGGGGAGGAAGAGAAGAAGCAAAAGGAGTAAACCGAATGGGTTTGTTGATTTAGCATTGGGGATGAGTCTTGTTGGTGCTGGTTTGCTTCTGGGGTGGACTGTTGGATGGATGCAGATGCTTTCTTTCTAATCCAAAGAGAAGAGAAGAGAAGAAGAAAAAATTTCACACTTTTTCTCACTGAGCAGCTTGATAATGAGTATGTAAACTGTTGTAAGAATTTTGTTAATATTGTGTTTCTAGTTTGATCTTAAAATGAAATGATCTTTCATGTAACATATGCATATGTTTGAGTTGTTAGCTATATGATCTTTCTTTCATGTACACAAAAATAGCTTAATGTCATTTGCTTTATGTTTTGTGTTTTATTGAAATTTGAAAGATATTTTGTAGGTAATTTACATAAAATGTATTGTGTGAAATTAGATAAATTAGTTCATTGGCTATCAAGTAAACAGTAGCAATCTGTAATGGAAAAACTGACAAATAAACAGAGAGTTTCCACTGATCAGTAGCAATAAAAGCTATATGTATAGATCAGCCACACTGATCACTTTCCATTTTTACATTTGCCAGTACGGTGACTAAAACTTATCATTAAAATAAATTATTAAGAGCTCTTTAGAAAACAAAATAATAACTAGCTTTTTGGACTATGAATCATCGTTCTTTACCTGGAAAGTTACATCAGCGTAAAAGCAGAAAAAAAAAAAAAAAATTTTAACTGCTAGGTGAATAGAGGTAAGAGAGTTTCAGTACCATACTACTACGTGGCAAAAGGTAATAACTGCGAGCATTTGGGCCCAATAACCCGACCCGATCTGACTTGAGATGATCCTTTTAAATGGATAGTCCGGAATCAAAGACTAATATCTATCAATCGAATCGAATCGAAGAAGAAGAATCATTAGACACAAATCGACGACGACGAGCTCGGAAGACACTTGAGATCGGAATAGTGCGAAAAGATGCCGGTGATGGAGAAACTGAGAATGTTCGTCGCGCAAGAGCCTGTTGTCGCCGCCTCCTGCTTAATCGGCGGCGTTGGTAATCAACCCTAATCTCAATCTCTATTGCTCTCCAGATCTAAGAATCGATCAAACATTCTCCCTCGTATAATGGATTTGCTTTCTCGTTTGAATCTATTGGCTAGTTAGTGTGTTCAATTTTGGTTCAAGGATACAGAAATGCTTGAGATTGCCATTTCTAGGGTTTTGCAAAGAGATTCAGATATAAAGTTTGGATCTTTACAACCATTTTGTATTAGTTTGCAGAAAGATCATGTCTTTATTTGAATATTGATTAGTGAGTGTTAGCAAGAGGCAATGTGTCATTCACATTATTCTGATGGTTCTTGTAGGACTCTTTCTGCCTGCTGTTGTGAGGCCTATTCTAGACTCACTCGAGTCTTCTAAGCAAGTTAAAGCGCCTCCTCTTACTGATGTAAGTAATATAGCACACTTTCATTTACCAGTCTGTTATATGATTAACTTTATTCGATGAATCTCGGCACTTTCATCAGTTCCTAGATAGTAGCTTGTGTTAGCAGTTATCCTTGTTGTGTGTTGTAACATAAACATCATCTCAACATTTTGCTTCTCTTCACTTTGCTGCTTATTGCTTTGGTTCATGTATGTCTCTGTTAAATTCTATGCTTTTTTCGTCATGGACGAGTCTCATGATCACGTTTTGTTGATTTCACAAACAAGGATAGAGACTTGTTATTATTAACTGACTGCTTAGTACTTGAAGGTATGCATAGGCAAACAAAATGCTTCAAGTAGTTACTCAGATCCCATTTACTTTTTGTTGCAGGTTATTGCTGGTGTCACAGGGAAGAAACAGACCTAATCCAGCCAATGATTTCTTCTGTTTTCTTACATTCAGATCATCATTATTCCTTTTTTAACTCTTTCTATTTGCAAATGAAATAAGCCAGACTCCCATGTTTGTTTTTTTTGTTCTGAAACTTATATAAAGGCATGTGTGTGTTTGTCCACTCTCTTCATCTTTTTATCAGATGTATTCAGTTCCTAATGACAAATCGAAAATCTTGAAATCCATGGCTCATGAGTCTTGAAATTATATTATATAGTTTACATACATTATACATACATCACAAATAGATTAGTTTTTACAATATGATGATATTGGGAGTCTTACATACTCGCATAGTAGCTCTTTTTGCATCAACTTGATCCTCAATAGGTAGATCAGAAGATGACCAGTGTTTGTCTTGTAAAGCAGTTGAAAATATGCTCAAAGACTTTCTCTTCTCAGCTTCTTCTTCTTCCATGGCATTGCCTGCTTCATTCCCTTACATAAACTTACCTGCATTTCCCCAACCAAAAACCCAACAAGTAAGAGACAACACTTTGTGAAGACAGTCACCAAGAACAAAAGAACGATCAGTTTACCCAAAAGTGAGATCCATTCACAGAGCCACCATCATGTAAACTCCCTGATCTGTTAAACTTCATGATCTTCATGTTGCTGTTATTATTGAGCTCACCTACTCTCTCCTTCTCAGACGGAAAGACATAACTACCCCTGGCAACAACCTCTCCTCTCCTTTTCCTCCTCATGAAGCCAAAGAGCCCATGCTTCTTCTCAGACAAGGGCACTTGAGCAAATTCACCGGGAAGGAGCAAGCGTGGAGGCAAACCAAGACATTTTGGGTAAGAAAGAGGAAGAAGAGGGTTCTTGGGCTTCCCTGGTTGCTCCTCCCAGCAAAAAGGAACAGAAGCAAGAGTGTGTATAGGAGAAGCAAACACAGATGGACTTGCAGGTGACGAAGTGTACAACAATGATCTTGACTTTGCAGCTAATACAAGCGCCAGCTTCTCCTTCTCTTCTCTCATGTTTTTTTGTTTCTTTCTTCCTTGCTTCGTATTCAGCTTAGCTCTGTCTCTTTTTTTAGGTAGTGGAGAGTGAAGATATAGTAGACAAATGCATTAAATGTGTCTCAAAATCATTTCTGATTAGTAACTGATCCGACGGTGGAATTTTTGACTGTTGACTAAAATAGACAACCATTCATAAAAGTCAATACTCTTCTATTAATGGAAAATGACCGACCACGTCACCAGAATTTATTATTCACTAAATTATTATTTTATTTTTGCTTTTTTACCATATGCATTTAATTTGCTATATTGTGAAAATAAATATAGCTCAATTTTATTTTTTGATATGCCCTATATTGTGAGAATAGATGTATAGCTCAAATTAAAATGAATGATAACAACTAGCCATCTTTTACGAGCAGATGGCCGAAAGATATCAATCAAACTAAAAATAGAAAAAAGCTAAAACTAAAATGAGTAATAACAACTATATATCCCCTTTAGCCATATACCTAACCCCTTTATTTTAGTTTTATTATCGATGATAACATTTAATCAGCTGATGTTTATGCAAGAATATTTACATACTGCCTCTGCCTGTGTTAGTAGTACTCTGTATTCAAGCAAAAAAAATTGTTATTAGTATATGGAGCTGACGTCAAAATCATTTGCCGACAAATGGCTTTATTGTGTGATTAACGATGTATAGTAAGCGGAAACTGGACCCAAACGTTGTTTCATGCATCAGTGAACGTTCCCACCGACAGCAACTCAAGTTATTATGATCTCTCTCAAGCTTAGTGTGCTTTTGCATGTCTAAAGATCCGAATGATAATTATAACTATTTTAAAAAAAAAATTAATAAAATACGATGAATGTGGTCTTAGGTGGTGGTTTTTATATGATAAAGTCAAAATAATAGAATGAAAAACAAATAAAAAGAGAGGTGGGTCTTTTGTTACGCGGAACACAAGATTAAGGGAGCAGGTTACTTTCATTTGTCTTCTTAGATACAATTATTATTATTTAACAAAAAGTGATTTATCATATTAATCATAATTTATCAAATTTACATTTTTCGGAATGATCACGTTTTTATAATTAGGGTAGCTAGTCAAACTAACTAGAACAGTGTAATGGGCTCCGAATATAGCCCTACAGACTACCATAATAATCATTTTAATTAGGCCTAAGAATTGTGTTAAAAAAGGCCTAAGAAAGATCATTACATCTACAAATAAGAACTAGAAGTGGTTTAAAAGACAAGATAAACTATAAAACATAGCAAGCAAATAATCATACAATGCAACATGAATAAAACAATCAAATACGGGTTGTTAACAAGATTTTAAATAAAAGATATCATCTTTTTAATAAGATTCAGATCAATTTCAAAGCATTTATTTTCTGAAAAGAGAAAAATATGATGTTAAATAACACATCATATTTTATTTTCCTAACACATCATTAGTCATGACGAAAAATATACTATATAGTCTTTATGTTTAATAACATATATATAGTTTTATGTTAAAATAACAAACCACCTAATAACTTCAACTAATAAAACAAACAAACCACCTAACTTCGTGACTTGGTGAGAGATTCACCATCGTATCTTCATCATCCAACAATGACTTTGAGCTCATTTTTCTTGACCTCATCACTTGAATATATCAACAACTTCTTCGCCATTTTACAGAACTCACTGCACATTCAAGAGTGTGTTGTTATAGATAAAAAAAAGTAATAGAAACTAGAGAGACTTTAAGAGAGTTACTTACTTCCATGGATCGTCTCCAACAAGCATCATATCACCTTCATCATCAGTAAACACAATAGCCCATTTGTCTTTAGTCCTAAGCTCTCCTTCAATCTCAAACATTTTCTCTAACTCACTGATTAGTTCATCATATGATCTCAACAATGTTAAATCAACCGCACGTCCCACCGCTGTTCCTTGCATTTGCACCTTTTCAATAAATACTTAAACGTTTGTCTCTTTCTTGAGTATCAAGTAAAGAGTTAATGGTTTGTTATTTTACCTTGGTTCGGCTTCTTGTTGACGATGTTTGTTGCTTTGCGAGTTCAACGAGTTAGGATCTTGACATTTGGTAGAACCAGAGTTATTTGAATCAACGCTTATTACTTGCTTGTCATTAGGGTTTGGAGGCTTGCTCTTGAGATCAAATCCGAATAACCTACAGCTACTTGTGGCTGGAACCTCGGTTTTGTTCGAGTTTCTTTCACTTGATGGATCTTGAAACAACAATTTGAGTGAAGGACTAGGCTCGTGGTGGCTCTTAGGGTAGCTGCTCAAGAAATTAGAAGCCACAGGACTCCCAGTGATTTCTGTAATGCAAGAAAAAAAGTTTAACCTAGACCTGGTCAAGATCCATAAACCGATACGTGAAGCTTGTCTTTCAAGGTACCTGAAGCTGATGAGTCAATGGGTCTAGACCGTTTGGACTTTGAATGTGGTGGAGTAGGCGATGAAGTTAGCGTGGATGGTAAGAAAGGCTCAATCTCCCATGGTGAGACCTTGTTTGGTCTCTGAACTGTAGATGGCTCATCCCATTGAACCTTAAGGTAAGAAAGAAAAAAATTATAACTAACAGAAAGTTTGCAACAAGAAACATCTCTAGAGAATTGAATCATATTCACTGAACCTGCAATGACCTCCACTTTGAAGCTGGCCACTGAGGAGATAGATCTCCACTACCAACAACAGTACCAGTAAATCTGAAGAAGAAACTCACCAAAAGTTTAAACAACAATCAAGACAAGAATGAGAAACAATAAAGAGGAAATGAGAAAGTTACATTCTCTCAGGTGACTCTTCTCCTTCAAACCTCATCCTAAACCTCATCCCAATACCAAATCCTTTCTTCAAAGCATCCATATACTTATTCACACCTATAATGAATTGGCTTATCCTGAAAACAACAAAGCTTTATTACATCCCTTCACTAGCCGGAATTTCAAAATCTTGAAACATTAACCTCGGCTTGTACAAGACAACAAACATAGATGTTGTATTAAAAGCATGAGAAGCTGTAGCAAGAACCCCCAAATGCATACTCTGACTCGAGATAACCGATGCAGGCATTGTGCTTTGTTGCTTAGCTAAACGTCTCACTCCAACTCGTAGATCACCAGTTTTACCCCTTTAACAAGATAATAATATTATTATGAAGCTCACAAAGTATTATAAAGACTCATGAGAGATTTTTAAACTACCTCAAGAACACAAAAGCATCTCCAGCTACAAGTCTTTTAGAGGTTACAAATGTACTCCAACCAGTTGTAAGTAAATGTCTCCTTGGTTGTCCTATTGAAATAAAACAAGCTCATTAGACTCTTAAAGCTAAAGAAACTCTGAGAGAAAGAGAGAGTTTGCTACCTCTGAATATATGCTTAAACCTCCATTCATATCCATGGAGATCTCTAGCTACCAGTTCTTGAGTTGGTGTAGTTTGTGTCATATCCTAAGAAAATCAAAAGATATAGTGACAACATTAAGCAAAAGAGAAGCCAAGAGTCTAGAGACTGAGATCATGGTCATGAAGCATCATTGGTCTATGACTTCTAAAATTTTACATATAAGTTCCCAAATTTATCTAAATTTTTTTTATATAAAACCTTTACTATAACACCTAAAATCTCAGGATCAAAGACAAAGGATAAAAAGCATTTACAAGTGAAGGAAGACACTCAGTGGCGTGTTTACGAAGAACAGAGAAGCCACCATGAGTGCTTGTATCAGAAGCTGTTAGAATCTTAACAAAGGAGTCAACAGTTTGTTTAGCAGATTCTGTTTTAGGTGAATCAAGACTTGTTGGTTCACTTTGCTGCTAAAACAAAACAAAAAAGTTGAAAATTAAAATTATGTGTGTTTGAGTGATCTCACATTAGTCAAAGAAACTTACATCTTCCTCAGGTTGTAATGTGATCTGAGCGTAAACCTCATCTGTTTCATGCTCAGCTTTTAACATGACGTTTAGAACTCTACAAAGTATCTTTGGAGGAAGATTAAATATTGGTATGTCTTTATCAACGACTCTTTGATTAGTTGAAGCCACCAACTGCCAAAAAAAACAAGAAGTCTCAAAGATTTGTGAGATTTGAAGAAATAAGAGAAAGAAGGAAGACTTGACCATGAGCTTTACCTGTTCCATGTGACCTTGAGGGAAGTAGAAAACTCTTTCATCACATCGAGGCACTTCCACAAGTGGCCCTGCACAAGCTTTCCATAGCTCCATGTACAATTGATCATCTTCAACATTCGCCATCGAAGGAAGCAAATAAAACCAAAACAAAAAATCAATTCACGCTCTTAGCAACTAACTCATCAAAGAAACACAAAAGAAGAAGAAGACAATAGTCATCAAAGAAGGTAAAAAAGGAAAAAGAATACTCTATTTTTTTTAAACCAGACACGACGGTTATTGTGTCTGTATTCATTACAGAACATCATAAATTCATTACAAAGCTCACTGTTTGTGTTTGGATATTAATTTCATTTAATTAAATTTAAAATTATGTTTTCCGGGTTTTCCTCGTTGGCTTTTCAGTTTCAGTTACGAAACGGGTCTTGTTTCCTTCTCTGCCTTTTTGTCTTCCCTTTGAAACTCCATGTCGTTTGTTCTATTTCATCACAAACTTCATGCTGTTTTACTTTTGTTGGAAACAAATGTATGATCAATTATTGTTGAAAGTGAATCTGGACCGTTAAGATTAAAGGCAACGATTCTTTGTGCATCTAGTAGTGTAGTAGTAAATAAATGCAGTAGTTTAGATCTAATTATCTCTTCTCTTTACGTGGTTACCATAATAAGGCGCGTGAAGCCAAAAAGCTGGTTTTGTTGTTTTTCTTTAATGAATGATGCCGTAACGGATCCCGTTATGAACTGACGGAGACGTTACTTTCTCATTGCTTGTGTCCGGAACGTGGCAGGCAAACGTGTAGGCTCGTGAACATAGAGGCAGAGAGATTTTGCCATTCCATCGAGCGTTATGGTCAAAGGATAGGCGTTGGTAAGCGTGCTTATAGTTTTTTGTATTTATTTTCACATGTCATATGATCAGTTTCTAGTCAAAGTTCTCATTGAATTTCTATCACTCACTCTTTTTTCTTGTTTCTTCGTGCTTTTACGCTGCAACAAGCCAACACTGATAATGATTTTAGTGTGAGTTCTTTTTTGCGTGGATTAACGAAAAAGACTTGTTTAATTCGATTACAAAAGACACTTCTGTTCCATGATACTTGTACAATTAATTCTGAAAAGATAACTCGAGATCGCTCACGTAGACACTATTTTTTTCCCTCAAATTATTCTTATCTGCATGGAACATTATGCATTACGTATCACATCAATTCCATGATAACGTTTAATATTACAAAATAAAGATGTGTTTCTGACGGGTTATAAATAAATTAATTAGTATTAGTTTTCCATGGTTGTATATAGACTATTTATTTTTTCTAACAACTAATTCAACAAAAAATAGTCCTCATTGTTATGTTTGTTTGTTTGTTTTCTACAATCTATTTCCTTCAAAAACATAAGAGTACATAACTAAAAATTATTGAAATATATGACTTCGCAAAGTAACTTTCAAATCTCAACAGTTTTTTTCAGGAATAGCTAAAACATATTTCGTCAGGTTGATTGTTAATGACATAGTTGCACCAAGTCAAGTGCGGTTATCGCGGTTGTCTGTATACTTGTACACGGTACTAGCTTAGCAACTACGTACTATGTCGATAAGACATTCGATGTTAGTAACGAACTATCTTGATGTTAGTATGTGTGTGTGTTGTATTATTACATGCCGTAATCCCGAGATACGTATACTACATTTTACTCAAAGTTGTAAATACTTCAACGCATGCAGAAACCTACTTTTTACAGATAATAATTATTATTAAAATATAAAAGAGAAAACGAACAATAAAAGTTGAGGACCGTTTGCCTCAAATTGTTGGTTAGGAATATGATTATTCAAAGTGGTTGGCAACGCACGGATGGGAATATAAACATTAATATATGTTTTCTATACATACTTAGTGGCGCAATGGAACTAAATTCACATTTTTTAAATTATTATTTGTGTTCTAATGTTACTTTTAATAGTCTGTCTAATTTGTTGAGCATCATAGTTAATCACTTGTTCAGTCATAATCGCCACATCAATAAATAAGAATAACGAATATTCGGTTTGTAGATATGTATGTCTCAACTAATAGATCCTCATCGAATTGTTTTTTTAAATAAAGGGAGTTATGGGGGAATGACATCATGACCTTATTAATGAATATCCATGTATGAAAAATGAAATTATACTATAACTGAACAGAAATTAATTGAGTTTATTTATTTGGTGTTTAAAATTGATATAACTACAGTGAAAGAGAAAAGAGAATCAAGTGGTTGGCCTAGGGTAACAACACATCAAGAAAAAGAGATTTGATTCCAACGCCGTATCTATTATCTTGAATACACTATTGCACAAATTAACCTAATCATCTTTTTACTTAAGAATACCGACTTTGATATATTTTAAAAAGATTTTAAATGTTTTATTGAACTTCTCTTAAATATCTTCCACTATGCGACTCATATTAAAATAAAAATTTACATAAGATGTTTACCATGCAATCTTTTACACATATTTTTTTTGCTTTGACATATGTAAACATACTTCAGATCAGAGTAAGCACATATCTATATTTATTAGTAATTGACTTTTCTTTCAAACATTTAATGTTCGACAAATGACCCTTCCCTTCGCTAAAAGTGTAAGGTCAGAACTCGCATGGAATCTCCAGAACACTAAAGCTCATGGACCTCGCTTAATAAAGGTATCAAAAACAAGATTAAAATTCGGTAAATTATAATATGGTTTATCTTTGTTACCATTTGTACAACGGTCTGATCTCTTTATTCGGCTATAAGTTAGAGATCATATTCGTGTAATTCTAAAATGCGACTTTTGAATTTACAAATCAGACGAATGCGCTTGATTCAAGCTTTCTTCTTGTGGTTTCAGTTTTCATAACTATCATAATACAATCATATAAAGATCCCTATCTCAACAAGGTCGATTTATTAGTTCCCCAGTATGCATCGATCTTTCATAAAATGGCATTTTGAGATCATTTATTTCACGGCATTGTGATTAAAATATTATTTCTTTCATCAACATATTGTAAATTGTAATGATCAAGTATTATTAGTGCATGTATGTGGACCAAGAAAACTTAGGATATCTTAGTGAATCTTTCTATAGTTTTAGTCAAATTATTAAATAAGAAACACTACCTCCAATGCCCCCCATGCTGCATATATAACCAACTTTTTTCTTGTTTCAAGATCGTTATTAATTAATCGTAGAGATGAATATCTATATAGAACGTATAATATAGTAGTATTTTTTTGATTTTTTTACCTTCTAAGACACATTTTGTCTTATCAATTACATAATAAGACACTTCATACTTGGTAGACACTTTATAGCTGTTTATTGTCTTTTATACCCTCAATCTTGACCAAACCAAACTAACCTAACTAAAGACAACTAACTATGATCATTTTTTTCAACGAAAATATATTTTTCTGTCGAAATAGCAAAATAAAAATATCTATCATATATTCAAACATAGATCTGCTTTCATTCTCCTAAATTTTCAACTCTTATTAAATTTTTTCATCCTCTATCTTCTCCTACTATGGTTTATCTTGACTGCTTCTCTTGACTGCTTCTCTTTTATCTTAACAAATTGAAATTGGTTAAGGCCTTTGTGGTTCTACGACGTCGTGATTTTTCAAGCCTCTTCTTGCAAGCGGAGATGGTGTGGTGACTCATTTGGTGGCGCGTGAGTGACAACGACTTACCGAAATCTCCGCCAGTCTTCCACGAATCCGGAAAGAAGAGCTTTTATTTTTTTGGGTATCTCCATTCGTTCATTCAAAAGAAGAGTTTTTTATTTTTCTGGGTATCTTCATTCTTCCCTTCTTCTACCTTCAGTCATCTACTGTGGCCGATGAAAGTGAATTTGTTATTCTTCTACATTGTTAAAAAAAGGTTACCTTTCATTGTTGTGATTTTTTTTTGTTTTTTTTTGTGTTTACTACAGGAGAGAACAATGTTATAAATATCAACTGTCCACAGTACTTGTGTTCACATTTATCCTATCCACATGTTATATGTACAAACTTCTCTAATCTTCATGTTTATTTTCTCAAACAAAACTCATAGTTTTCTAATTAAACTCATAGGTTCTCCAATCTCCATGTTTTTTTCAAAGAGAAACTGTCCACAATCCTTGTATCCACATATATCTAATTTACATGTTCTATGTCCAAGCTTCTCTAATCTTCATATTTTTTTTCAAAGAAAACTCATATGAGATTTCTAACTAATTCACGATATTGCATTGTAAGATCTGAACATATCCACATTTTTATGTCTATATATTTTTATGTCCACATTTTTTTCATCCACACTTTTATATCTACAAAATTTTATATATAATTTTTGAAATATACAAAATATATATATAAAATGGATATTAAAATACAGAGAAAAATAAATTATAATTTATTATAATAATTTTTAGTTTTTTATATATCTCAAAACTGAGAAAAATCAAATAAAAGCTTAAGGTGGAAGAATAATAATATAAAAAGAAATTGTGAGAAAATAGATCTAACCAGCCTCTTGTTTTCTTTTCGTTGGAATAAAATAGACACAATATTATATTATTAAAACTAACTCATCTCTTACCTTTCTTAACTACACCAAAAGGGTACATGTGTATAAACACATAGGAGGAGAGTAGGAGAAAGTGCTCCTCAAGTGTGATGTGTCTTATTCTGCTAAAAAAGAGAACAATGTGTCTTATTCTGTAATCAACTCTATTTTTTTTCAATGAATGCTAAATTATATTCACCAAAAAACCATTATTACATCTAGTGCAGCTGGTGGTAGTGAATTTAGTTAAAAGAAATCGTGCGTTATATTAGTGAATGAAAATCGTTTGTTGTCTTACACTTGGTTCAACTAATCAAGATTATTAAAGTTTACTGTAAAGATAAATATTATGAAAGATTTCTACCGTTATAATTTAAAATACTTCCACCAAAAAATCATGTGAATTTTCATCCTTTGTGAATGATAACAACGACTGATATCATTATTCATGTAATTAGTTGAACGTACTTGGCCAATGCATTATGTTCAGATTACTATTAATTAACTCGGCTAAAAAGATCTGATCATAGAGAATATTAAGGATTGGGTTTAGATGTTAATCAGTGATACAATCACACGCACACATATATACCGATAATGACATATTGTATAACAGAAATGTCACATGGAGAGTACTACACCTATTGGCATGTTCCGACCAGCTTGTTAATATGTTGCTGCATAAATATATAATGAAAATAATAGAGATTTTTATTTAAAATAATAATTAGTACGAGGAGACATATGCACATTTCTAAAGCTCGCTCGTTAGCTCATCTTCTTATAATGTTCCTTGTCGAGTGATAGAATGCAATTTCTTCTGCATGCACATGTTCTGAAACCTCAACCTAAAGTGTGATCTCACACACATGCGGTAAATATGGTTTTAATTATTGTTTTTTTTTTGTGAATTTAATTCATACAGATGCAAGGATCACGTATGCTATTGATTCACTTATTTAACAAATATTAGGGATTCTCTTTCAAAAAAAAAAAAGCAAATATTAAGGATTGCATGGTTTTTTCTTTTGAGAACTTTTATTTTTTTGAACAAATTATATACATATTGTTGTATTAATTTTCATACAGGGAAATACACACAAAACAAAATATATATAATTTGTAAAACAAAAACATTTTCCCGTCTTAAATTTCCAAAGTTTTTATATATGTTTTGATTTTCTTTTGTGAGATTTTTTCCACTGCATATCTTCTTCCGGCGACTCCATGATTACACACTTTAATAAATTCGATATATCTGCGGTGGACACACATTTACTTTTGTTACATAAGTGAAGGGATTACAAGTACACTTGTTTGTGTTTATTATTTATTATTACTTTTATTCGAATAAAGGTACCTCTCACATGTGTCACAAAGGATTGGTCACAACTTCTTATAAGAATTAGAGGGGAAAACATTAAATATTAGCCAAAGAAGTGAGCACTGTATTAGTAACTGGGAAATCTGATATTTTTACCCTGCAACGTCTCTTATTGATCTATAAATTTAGTAGACATATCCAACAATGAGTTGGGCAAATCCGTTTCTAAACAATTAATCCTTGAACTATATTGTATGCTTAACCAACATGGAACACATAAACTAACTTGGAACACATATAAAACCTATAGATTGATGTCGAGTGCCATGCATAAACGCTCATCACCGGATATAAAAAATTTAAAGAAAGTAAAACAACAAACACTATATATTAGCTTACATCTCTAGCTAATTATTGAACACTACGTTTGAGTGGGTTCATTGGATCTACTTTAGTCCAATTATTTAGACAACCATAAACACAAACTTGTATTTAATTGTTAGGAATTTTCAAAAGAGCCAATAAAATTACTATTAAGTATGAAGAATGCGTGGTCCATTGTATTTTTTCTTACTCTTATCTAAAATATGTCATTTCCTAGTATTATATATAAAATGAAGATGAAAATAACAAGACGAGGGGACCAGATAATAAATCACATGATCATATTACATGAGACCATCACGGCTCTCACTGCCAGGATGGGTCTCAATCTTAAACATAAATAAGTAATATAAATGGTTGCCGGAAATAATACTAAAATAAATGTCAATAGTTGATATCGCCGAGGGTGTTATCAGGGGGAAACTACACAGCCAGCCGATATTTTATGGATGTCACAAATTATAAAACGGAAAAGTTTATGGAAATAAAATGGAGATATTTTGCAAGACTTGTCGACATCAAATGATTATATACATTTGCAAAGTAAATAAACTATGATTAATAATAATATTAGTCTCAATATACCAATAATACACTAATGTGTTGCTAATTGGGATATCGTTAAATAAGATAAGACATAGTTTAGTGGTCATAGATGCATACGATTAGCACCAACAACAAACCTATATCACCTCCTAACAACCTCTTGTTCCCCATTTTCTCTCCTTTTCCTAATATTATACAGTCCACTCCACTAATGATCTCGAAAAGCATAATTGTTCTTTTATGCACAATATTAATCCTGAGTTTGCTGAGTGAAATTAAGAACC